ATAAAGCTAAACCTGGAAAGACACATTAGTCTGTTTTTCTAATGGAGTTCTTTTTGGAAACAGTTTTTGCTAGCATTTTGAAATTTAGTGTGACATTTTTGAGCATCTGGCATTTGGCAGCTTCACTAATAACACTTTTGTGCAGCCTAACAGCTTTTACTGTTATTACATTTTTCCTAATCTTCAGCCTGACCTTTTTCACTTCATAATATTTATTTCTGTCTCTCAGAACAGAATCATTCAGGGTGGATTCCAAAGCCAAGTACGTCTCTCTTATATGATAAATATATTGGCCATTTTCTAGTGGATAAACCAGCAGTAGTTTGTTATGACAAGTTGTTTTGTTTTTTTTTTTTTCCCAAAAAACTTTTGTTCCCATATGATGGCTGCAAGTATTATTCTTCCTGTGGTGTGTTCTGAAGCTTGAGTGCCATCACATGGCACTTGTACACTCAGCACAGGGATGGTTATCATCGTTGTGGCAGGGGTGACTTGCATTTCAGACTAATTGGCCCCTTTTCATCAGGGCAGGAATGTCACGCTAAGCTTAGAGAAGTAGCTAAGATTTATGTCCTACTGGAGAGTGTCTATGTTTTACTAGGTCTCTCTGACCCTAGTAGAAAAATCTGGGGGGGGAGTGGGGAAAATACTTTCTTTCCTTCCCTTTGTCAGGAATTGTGTAGTATTAATACTGATGTAATTTAATAGCAGCAGTCTCACTGTTTTAATTGGCATTGGGTATATGTTACTAATATTTATGGAAAAGTTATTTGTTTTAATGAATTTTACTAAATTAATCTTCAATCAGTTGCAATTAGTGTCTTGCATAAAGTTACTTCTCTAATACCCTCGCTAGTAATGAGTATCTTAGTGCTGTCAGAAATTACTGTTTATATTGACATGATTATTTTCAGTTTTGCTAGATAAATATTTTTTAGGCATCTTCAGTCTACTCTTGTTGCTCTTTGTCAAAAACTTGCCCATCAAACAACTGGAGGCTTTCTCAGAGCAGCTGTGAGCTGTGGCACTCCATATTAGCTGCCTTACTTAATGGGACTTTAATTGGCATATTGCCCCAAACACAAAAAAAACAGATACAGAAACAGAGATACATCCTTTTTATGTCACTTTAGGCATGTCTCATTTTGAATATGCATACACTGGATGTTATGCTGCAGACTGACAAAGAGAAACAGGGAGATCTTAGTTCAGAATATTCTTTCAATTTTCAGCTGGAAATTTGTCTTTTAACTACTTGGAAAGCTCTGAAAAATAGAGGCTGCCAAATGTAAGTCAGTCAGGTCACTTTGTCCATTCTTGTCTGAGCTAAGGTTACAGGGCTGCTGGTGGAAATGGAGGGGGACAGGAGTGCTGGTGGAAGGCTGTGGTGTTCACTGGGTAAATGGGGCCAAAAAGGGCCATGTTCCCCTGAGCTGGTACAAAGCACCTAATGCAAATGGTTCCTCCACATTTGTCCCACACCCAGTTCGTTTTCCCTGCTCACAAGGTGAGGCCAATAAAGGTACTCTTTTTATGGAGAAGATAGTTGGCTGCAAGGTCAGGACAGGAACAGGAAGATTTTGGTGTGACTGTGCTGAATAAGCAAATAGCCCCTTAGTGGGCAGCTAGAATTTGTGGTTCTGATGGTTTCAAACTCTTGCTATGCAGATGAACTAATGCTTTAACAATGGCAATTTTTAGGAGGCACCTGGAGATCTGACTGGGGGTTACTGTCTCAGTTTGGTTGTGAACCTGTATGTTTTGCAGTAGAGCAGAACAGCTCATACTGCAACAATTTTGAGATTTGGGCACAAGAAGATGTGGCAGGTATCAGAATAAATTGTGTGAGAATGCAGGGTGCTTGGGCAAACTTCAGATGGCATTTTTATCTCTAAGAAGTTGTTTATATATTTGTATATATGTATAGACAGATATGTCTGTGTATATGTTACAGTTATGGTGAGATCTATGCACCAGGCTGAAATTTTTTTTTTGTAATTTTGTGCTCTCCTTCAACCTTTTTGCATTTGTGTTTATAGTTATTTCTAAAATATCTGCACTGGGTTGCTCCATTGACCTGTGTAGTTTGCTAGAATAATAATGTTCAGCCTTTGATTTTTCTCTGGTTAACGAGATCTTTCATTTCTAGAAGTAGCTGTTTGTCACCTCAGAGTCAGATGGCTACCCTCTTTTCCAGGCATGTGTCCATAGTTCCATGGGCAAACCATTTCCAATAACAGATTTTATCCCCACACTAGCTTATTCAATTCAGAATTCAGATTAAAAAAAAATTGTCTTTTTTCTTCTTAATCTCTTGTGACATGTGAAAACTCAACACTCCTCAGAACCTCCAATTTTAGCCAGAAAGCCTTTAAATTTCAATTCAGAATTCAGATAAAAAAAAAATTCTTTTTTCTTCTTAATCTCTTGTGACCTGTGAAAACTCAACACTCCTCAGAATCTCCAATTTTAGCCAGAAAGCCTTTAAATAATAGCTTTTATTTTGAAACAGGCTCTTATAATGTGTGAAAAGGACTTAAAAAAATTGTATTTCTAAAATACCACTAAAAAAAATACATTATTTATCTGTCACTTCTGAGTCTGGTGTTTGAGGGATGGGTGTTTGTCCTTACAGGAGGGCATTGCAAAGCATTTTATAGTTGTTCTGTCTACATACTAAATGCTTAATTTTCAGATGTTTTCTGTTTATGAAAACATTTGTGTGAGCAGATGTGTTGAGATGTCTTTTCTTTGTTAATAAATGAGGCCAGTACATAATTTCTCACTTATTTCAATATGCTTTTCACTATTCAATTAAAGTTGTTTTGAGTATTTTTTTTTTATTGAGCAAGATTTTGTTTTTGAAGTGGCCCCACACATTTAAATGGATTTAATGGTACAGTTTATTCCAATGAGATAATGGTATATGCCTAGTTAGAGTCCTTCAGAGCATTTTGGGTGAATCCACCATATTTTATTTGCTAGACCTATGATGTTTGAAAACTAAAACACTTATTTTCTGTAAACTTAAGTGTGTAAATATGAAAGGAAATGTCATCTTTAGGGTCCTGAAGGTCTCACAGGCAGCTATTGTCAGAAGCACGATTTCATGTAAAACTGGGTGTACTGGTAGGGTTTATTTGTTCTCTTTTGAGTAGTGAAGTCAATAAGTTAGATTTGACTATATAAGCATTGAATCCTTTCTTCCAAAATATTTGTTTTGAGGCAACATTGACAAAGTTCATTTGATGGCTGTAGTATCCTGATACTCCCTGTGACAGTGTCACTGTGAGTATAGAAGTTGAGTTCCTCCTCAGCTTTGCACAATGTGAATTTGATGGCTCCGAAAAATACCAGGCAATGAAGATAGTTTGTGGTATAATGGGGAAATTGGTATGGCTAGTGGGTATTGTCTGGTATGATTTACTAAATATTAATTGGGGTGACAGAGTGCTTTAATTGCCCTTTGAAGTGATCATCATTCTCTTGCACTGCACTTTAGAAGTCATTGGTGAATTCTGTACCTGACATCATTGGTCCAAGGGGAGGAACTGAGAAAGATTACCCCAATGAGTAATGATTTTTAATTGTGTGCTGTGATCAACAAAGCCAATGTTTAGGCTGTCCTGTCTACCACGCAGACTGTCTGTATATAAAGCCGATTATTCTGGGATAATAATTAAAAGGAGTTTAGGAGACTCTGGAAGTTTTGTCTTGCAGTATATGTTGATATATTTTTATTTTAAAACTGTCCTCATAGCTAAGAGTAATACAGAAACATTGCCTTAAATGTGCCAGCCAAACTAGGAATCTTCTCTGTGACAAATATCTTCTGCTTGTTCCTGTAATTAGGGAATTTCTCCTAGAGCTATATGAAAGGGAAAGAAAGCATGAGAACAGCTTTTGAATTCACTGTGTCTTTGAGGAGGAGAGACTCTTAAATCTGATTCCTGAGGGCTCTGATGGTTTCTATTAGTTCTAATAATAGCAATCAAACATGCTGCTCCTTTCCTGTTGATTTCTCTCCTCTGTATTGGTGGACACTGGTTCCATAAAAATCCCAGACTTGGCTCTTTGACCACTGACCACTTAAGGCCACTACATTATACAAGTCCACTATATACACTAACTGCCTCCAGTTTCAGCCCTAAATTTTTAGGTTATACTATGATTGACAGGCAGTAAGCCCTGGCATGGGAATAGGATTGGTATCTGGAATTGTAACCTCTTCAGTTGATCCTGCAAGACTTCCTCAGATGGAAGATTTTGTGGTGGTTGTTGGAAGAACATGATGAGTTGAAGCAGAGTAAAGCAAGAGAGGATCCTTCTACAATTCTGTAGCTGAACAAACCTGTATTTATGTAGTTCCATGAAAGGCTTTTGCATGTTGCATTTTATGGTTGCTAGCTCTTGGCAAACAGTGAGTGTACACGATTTCCAGGGCCAGCCTTGCCCCCTTTTGTAAAAAAAATGCTCTCTTTTGAAGGTAGCTTTGTTTTTACATGTGGAATAAAGTAAGAAGGAGACAATTCATGTGTCTGAAGCACAGTGTCATGATTTTAGTATCATTTGTGGTATTCAGGGTGTCTTTATGTCAGAGTGGAGGTGCAACCCAGGCAACACAGGCAGTTTTGAACAGCACTTGGATGCCTGTAGGGAGATGTCAATTCAGAGGATCTATGCTATCTAAATCTCACCTCAGCTGACCCAGCTAGTTAAAATAGGAATTCTGTTCAAAGTGAATGAAACCTATCAAGGCCAGGAGTCTGTCTAGAATTATATCCTCAGCCTGCACAGGATAAATCTAACCATTTACTCTTAAAAATGTGCAGTAATAGATGAAATGGAATACAATAGCTTTCATTGGTTGTACAATCTGGACAAGTTGGGAACAAAAGCTGATGAGAGATACTAGTTGGTTCCTTTTTGTACTAAAATAGTGGTAGATGTTTACGTTGTACTTCTTCACTGAACTGCTAATTGTTCTTTTTCTGTTTTAGGCTATGGTCAGACTGGTCCAATGGTTCAGAGAGGTGGATATGACTCCATTGCAGCTGCTGTTTCTGGTCTCATGCATATCACAGGGCATGAGGTATGGTGCTCAGCATAAAAATGTAATAGCAACTTTGTGCCAAATGCTAAAACCTGATGGTGCATGGAGCAAGTTAGCCTGTGCTGACACTTCTGTCACTTGTGCCCTTCTGAGTCCAGCAACAGGTTTTATCTCTGGGAATCGAAGGAAATGATAGTGCTTATGTCCTTCAGGTCTTTCACTCCAGCCTTGCAAAGCCAGTGCCTGAGAAACAGAAAATGGAAGAGGAATGTTGTCCTAAATCTCCAGTGAATAAATTGACAATTGATACTAACCTGTTAATGGTCACTTGTAGTCACTTTAACAGCTGTTACAGACGCTTTGTTGACCCCTGGATGATGGAACCGTGCATGTGTGTGGAGAGTCACACATGCATACTGATATTCCCTCTTTAAAAGAGGATGGTGAAACCACCCAGGTAACTGTGACAAACTGTCTTTTTAGTCTTTCTGCATGAAAATAAGCAGAGACATGTCATTAGTAGTTCTGGAAAACTTTTATGTGCTTCTATTCCCACTGATATCCCAAATCTTTGATAGATGCAGTAGTGCAGGAAGCATTACAGAGTTAGTTTAGTATCTGGGTTCCAGAAATACACAGAATCACAGAATGTCTGTGCTGGGCTGGAGGGGACCTCGTGTGTCTTCACCTCAGAGAAGTGCTGGTCAAACAGGCTTTTACTTAAGCTGTCTTGAATCACCTACAGATGCAGGGAATGTCATCTCCAAATGTCACATCTCAAGTGAGATGGTGTTTACAATGCCTGGAACAGACTTGTAACACTAGATGGTCTTCTTGATTGTCTGTAAGCAGTAGTGCAGATCTTCAGAGAATGACACTTTCCTACCCTAAATAAACAAGGAGTTCATCAGCTTTCTGTACTTAGTGTCAGATATTCATGTTTAAGTAGGTTGTTGAAAGCTAACCATGCATGGTCTGGACACAACTGTACTTCAGGATTGATATTGTGCCAAATGACTTGTTTTTTGCTGAGAACAATGGCAAACATCAGAACGCTGTGCTTGTGGCAGTTATTGTTACCAGAGTCCTCCTTCCTAAAAAAAAAAATAAAATAAAAAAAAGGTCAAGCATTGTTTGAATGAGGAAGCTGGAATGTCTTGTGCCTCATGTCCTAAGACTGCTCATTGCTGCCATGTTGTTGATACATACTCATAGGATTTCCCATCTCAGAACATGAGAAAATAGGAACTTGAGTGCAGTCCTCACAGGTACTTCTCTTCAAATGTATGTAGTGCACATATACACTCAGCAATGCTGAACACAGTAATTGTACTGTGAGTTTTATACTCTGACCTTGTGTCTATGAAGGTTTGTACTTGAATACAATGCTGGAAACTTCATGCACACCTCAAAATATACCAAACCAAGTTAAATAGGAGTATAAATTGTTAGAAAGGGGCAAATGTTGTTAGTACCACATGAATACTACATGAAGGGGGATCTTACAGCAACCTTCCAGTACCTGAGAGGGGCCTACAGGAAAGCAGGAGAGGGACTATTCACAGGGGTTTGTAGTGACAGGATGAGGGGTAATGGCTTTAAGCTAGAAAAGGGGAGATTTAGGTTAGATGTTAGGAAAAAGTTCTTCAGTATGAGGGTGATAGACCACTGGAATAGGGTGCCCAGACAGGTGGTGGAGGCCCCATCCCTGGGGACATTCAAGATCAGGCTGGATGAAGCTCTGAGTAGCTTGATCTAGTTGGAGATGTCCCTGCTTATGGTGGGGGGTGGGACTAGATGACCTTTGGAGGTCCCTTCCAGCCTAGACAGTCTATGATTCTATGAATGAAGGAAAGTATGTTGAAGATATGGAATATTTTGAAAAATGGAAAAAACTGGGACTCTTGTTAAGCTTTTCAATGATATGTGAATGACAGAAAATACAAGTGTTATACTGAATGATTGCATGTAAGTTGTATTATGAGAGTAATAGTCCTCAGTGGCCATTATGAAGATGGATTTTATTAAAAGATTGTGTTAAGATCTACAATGGAAACCCAGATGTTTGCATCACCTCACCAGGACTTGAGGCAATGTAATTATAGGAGTCATTTAATCAACATTAGCAACAGTTTCATCTATTCACTGGGGACTTCTAACAATTCATTCAAACTTAGTCATTCTCTTACATGATTAAAATAAATATGCTTCTTATTTTTCTTTATTTGAAGTTGGTCATATTATTTCATCAGTTTCTCAAAACTTTTTTCTGATGTATAAAGGGGCTGTAAAAAAGGAAATTTTTGAACCTTAAAATCAAGCTCTAACTTCTGCAGGAACAACTGCATTTGTGCTCGTGTTTTTTTTTTTGCTGATTGTACAAAGCCAAATGTGTTCAGTGCACAGCAGAATGCCATCTTTAAACCAGGTTTTCATCTGCAGAAACCTGCATGGAGTTGAAGCTCTGACACATGTGATTACATCTGTATTAGAAGTGTAGGACACCTGTGAAATTTGAAATTCTGGTGTGTTTATGAAAATTTACAAGCAATAGTGGGGAATCTGTTTTGTGTAAATGTCTACCACAAGTCCGTTTTGAATGGAAGCTGTTTCAGGCCACACTGAGTTTTTCTTTACATAAATTAAAATATGCTAAAAGGACAAAGTTGACACTGATGACACTTTTATTGTCCAGGATGACATAATTTATAGATATTTCTTGGTTACACACCACATTCAAGTTTCATATTTGAACAGAAAGCTTTTACTTAATATATTCAGCTATATCAGTGCCAGATGAATATCCCTTTGATGAAATTTTCTATGACTCATTAAGGCAATAACTTGAAATTAAATAAACCAACTTGGATACAAATCCTCTTCCATCTCCAAGTGGATTATTACATTAACTTTTTGATATTCACGGGATCTTTATGGTGGTACATTCTTCCATGCTGAAGAAACATTTTTATTTCACTGAACACAAGACAGCAAGACATGATTGGCATCCACGGTACCAGAGGGGCCATTTTTCAGCTGAAAAGCAAACAAACTGCAACAAAAGAGTACACATGGTATATAGCTCAGAGCTGTTGAAAAATGTAGCCATTGCTGGTTCATATTAGCTACAGCAGCTATTTCCCATCTGTAAAGACTACTGGACTTTGAATACTTTTATGAAGCATGTCATTTCATAACAATTTCCACTTTTAATGGTTCATTTTTATATTACTGATGTAAATTTATTGAAGAAAAATTTAGTTGAAGAGTAAAAAAAAAAAAAAGGCACTTAGGGAAGGAAGCTTCCAAAATGTATAATGTATTGTGGTTATCATAGGGCCAAAATGTGTTGACAAATGTTAAGGAATTTAGCAAACAGCAAAAATTAGGAATAATTAAGGTGGTAAGATGGAGCAATAGCAAAGCATAGTGGTGGAAGAAAAGGTCTGCTCTGCTAGATTGAATCTTCATCTTTTCACAGGAGCAAAGGGCTCATGTGAAGCCCTAATTAGGCTTCAGCCCAGTCCTTGAGCCTGGATGGGAGCTTTGCTGGAGGCATTTTCTCCCTGACTAGGGCTGTGTTTTGTCCTTCTACCAGAACAGTAATATTACTTTTGGCTTGGTAATATCTCTTAAAATAATTTCCTTGAATAAAGGCTCCTGTATAGATCCTTACTTTGCTCAGGAAACTAGTATTAATGTCTGTTCTGCAGCAGTACTGCTGTGCTGTCAGAAGCTCCATCTAAAGGAAGCTATTTCTCTCTGTGTCTGCAGCTTGATCCTTCACATGAAGCACCGTCATATCCCTTGTGCTGCAGGACAGAGATGAAAACCTGAATGAATCAATTTCACAATACTTAGAGCTAGGCAGCCTGTCCCAGAAGGCTGCTTTGTGTCAAAGGTGGACCTCAGAAGCTGATTAAAGGGTGAAAAATAGCAGCTACTCATGGATCCTGGTAGAAAGACCAAGGACGAGTAGAAGTTCTGTGGACTGCTGCAGAATTATGGGTTGTGGAGTGTTAGGGTGAAGTAAAGCCAGTGTGTTAAAAACGACGTGGCAGTGTAGTGCTAGGAGTTTGTAGGAGTGTTCTGGAAGGGGGAACTGTGAAAGTATTTTTAGAAATAAAAGTGAACTTTTTACTGAGACAAAGGAAGTGTTTGCTTTAAAACATGAGGTAGTTTAGTACTTCAGGGAAGCGCTGGAATCAAGGTTCAAGGAGAAAAATTCATATGTAACAGTCTATTAAACTAGTCCTGATTTTTATGTCTTGGAAGTGCAGTTTTCTCCATCAAGAGGAAATTAATGACACTTTGAAAACAGTGGGAAGACAGTTTTCAAACTAAGAATATTGTTGCACAGCCATTAATAAAATCCAAAATCCTTTTGTTTTCTTCTCATCCCAGCATCTTGGCTGTACTGAAGAAAGAACAATTTAACAAACCGAACTTGCAGCAGACAGTATGGGGGAAATGTTATTTTTCTTCATTTTTGTTTCTCCATGATAGCTCTGAGGAGCAAAAACCTCATGTGCTAGTTAGTTTTCTCATTAGGCCTATACATGTAAAAATAAAGAACTTCCTTTCCTTTTTTTCCTGAAGAACTGGGTACAAAGAGAGTGGTAAATGGATGGAACATTTGAGTTGTTTCTACTGGGAAGCTGAAGTAGCTTAGTGTGGAGAAGGGAGAGAAAAGAGATTCTTCAAAAAAAGCAAGTACTTCCTAAAGCAGTGTTCACCTTAAGGATATGTAGTTTGTACATCCTAATTAGTTACAAACTAATCCTTACTGCAGTTTTAATGACAGTAATAGAGATGATATTTTCAGTTATATTTGATACAGATTTTTTTTCAGTCACTTTTATGATATGAATAAAATAGCTGCCTTTTCCACCTTACACAGAAAATATTGTAGTAGTCTTTTAACCCAGAATTGACCTATTGATGCAAGAAAATACAATTTTTATTAAAATAATTTTTAACTTGTATATAGTTTGATATCAGACTACTGTAAGTCCTGTTGGAGTGTAAAAGAAAATTGCAGTGAAGATAACGTTAAAATTTTCTACATGAAGCCAAGATACTTTTAAAAATAATTATCAGTAAACATAAATCTTTTGCAATCTTGAAGTATGAATATATTTAGCAGTTTAGACGTGACTAAAGTAATTCTGTCAACTCAATGGTACTGAAATTATGCTAGATCAGTTGAAAAGCATTTATGGAAACTTTGACTAACAGTTGTTATTAGTGATAGAGATTTTAGGTTGGCTTATGATAGTCTTACTTAGGTGCTGGAACTCTGAAACCACCCTGGTAGCTTTGTGCTGTGGTTTTCTGGACTGAACTTCAGGGCAAGCAATTGCTCTCACTCTGAGCATCTGACCTCAAACTTCTCAGATTAGAAAATGGGAGAATGTCTCAGGAGAACCACTTTTAAGCTCCTATGGTAAAAGCCCACCTTGACTGAAATTCGGAGTTTATTTTCCCATTGATTGCAGTGGGGCTGTACTTTGTGCCAAAGACTGGGGAAATTCTGAAACTCATGATATAAAATGAAGATTCTTCCCTTGATGCCAGAAAAAAGGATGATGTACTGAAAAAACTATATTTGAACCAACACCTTTCCATTGATTATTGGTCAGAAGGTCAAGAATTTGCCAAACCAACACAGTTGGTTTTGTTTTCCCACTAGAAGCCAGTTTATGCTGGAAAATACAAACCTAAGATTTGGCTGGGGGAGGGTGGGGTAGGCAGAGGAGGGAGAAAAAGACTGAGAAGAGCAAAGCAGTATGGTTCTGCCTTTCAAACTTACGTGTGCCTGGGTCAGCATACTGTGGAAATCCTTTAGACCTTTGGCTTATAGGTATAATGAAATTCAGTTTTCAGTGGGTTCTCTTGTCTCTAACAGTTTTCTTTTTGCGTTGGTGAGTTTGCATTATGTTATTGGGGCAAAAAGTAGCGTAAAAAAACCCCACAATTTGCAGTTTGCAGCATTGTGAAGTTAGAGTATTGTGTAAATATTGCAAGAATATCTGGTTTTGGTAGTTGTTAAACTTCACTCAAATCTTGGAGTTTGCAATGCAGAAACATGTGAACGCTTTCTTAGACGAGTCTTGTGTGGAATGTTCTGTAACAAAAAATAATGTTTTGCCTCTGCTTGTTTTCTTTTTTTTTCACATTTTGTTTTTTATTTTGTTTGTCTTAGTTTGGGGTGCTTTCCCTTTTTTCTTTAGGATGGTGAGCCAGTTAGACCAGGAGTAGCCATGACAGACCTCGCCACTGGGTTGTATGCGTACGGGGCGATCATGGCTGGTTTACTGCAGAGGTACAGGACGGGGAAAGGGCTGCACATCGACTGCAATCTCCTCTCATCTCAGGTATTGCTTTTAGCTGTGGGGGTGTTTGAACCTAAGAATTCCATTTTGGCATAAATTAATGTGTATTAGTGTAACTAAGGACAAGAATTTCCTTACTCTGGTAGCGACCATTTTATACGACGTGGTTGTGGTTACTACTGCGTTAGGCTGGGTTTTCACTTTTTACAAGGGACCTCCATCTTCTTTGAAAACGTGGGTTAATCAAGGTTTATAAAGTCCCTGAGGTTCTAAATAACAATTGTAGTAGATAGAGAAGCTTAAATGATGAAAACTTTGTTGGAAGGGAGGCCTTGGAATGCCTTGGTATGATACATAGGAATTGTGTATGTTTTAAAATGTTCATGAAAACAGTGTGTGGTACTAGTCAAAGCTACTATAGAGCTCCATTATTTTGGTTTTGTTCAACTCTTATTTTTTCTTCACATTATACCTGTCAGTACATTTGAGAGATAGTAGGGTGCAAAACATTTGCCCTGGTGTGAGCAGGAGGTTGGAAAATAATAACTCCAGAAGTTCTTTCCCATCTATATCATTGTATGTTAATAATAACAGAGCCTAATGGTTGAGTTTGCTCTTGTTTTAATGCCTACTGCTCTTGTTTAAATACTTACTGGAATTAGATCTGGAATGGAGGGGAAGCCCTCACTTAAAATCAACAAAGAGATTTTCATTTGTTTCAGAAGTGTTTGTAGGGACTGAACTCTTCATCATATTTCTGTATATTTGTAAATGCTGTGTCTGTATTTGAAAAATATATCAGTTCAGGAAAATATTTTAAATTTATGTTAAACTTATTAAACATTTGTTTACATATGGAAATTTTTGATGTTTTTTAAGATTTCATAGCATTTGATATCATAGCAGCTTCTCCTTCATCTTTTTCATTTCAAATTTTATTAAAATACTTTTTCAGTATTTAATAGTTTTTTATTAATTTCCAGAGTCATTCTGTTATTTTCTGATTTCTTGTTCCACTGATTTTTGGTTCTGTTATTTGCCTTCTTGACAATTATTCCATACTATATCAAATGCTGAAAGTAAGAAAGTAAGAAGAGTTGAAGGTCGGTATTGCTGTAACTCTCCTATTTCAACTTAGTCACCTTATTTGTCTTTAGAAACCTTTTCCTTGGTTAGGATAGATTTGGCTGTGCACAGAAATGTTCTCATCTTGCACAGTTTCCATGTGAAGTTCCATATCATCATCCTTTAGGCTGCTCACTGGTGTAAGCAAGAAAGGGAATGAAGGCTTGGAGAGAGGGTAGTCAACAAAGCATGGCGTGTGGTGTTTGACAGCTGTGAATCTGAAGTAGTACTACATGGTAAAGGGACAGTTTAATCATTTTTTAAAACAATAACTCATTCCATGCTTGTTATCAAATTACAGTTATCTAAAAGTTAAGAAGTAATTCTATACATACACATTCTTATTGCAAAATAAGTGTTTTTATTTACCTCACTCTTGGGTGAATAAAAATGAAATAAGTTATTTTGGAACAGAGTATGAGTATAAGATGTTTTTCAGAAAACAGCTATTTTCTTTTAGATAAACCCGTTACTTCAGTCTAAATTAACTTTAGGGTGTTGGCCCAAGATTGTAATGAGAATATTTATTAAAATAGAAAAAATACTTATGGATGAAGTGCTGGGGTACAAAAAATAAACCCGTGTGATCAATCACATGAAAAACGTGTTTTAAAATGAAGAAAAATGTAACTGACAGATGAGTCTCTCTGAGAACATCCAGTTTTCCTGTTTTCTTTTTTCAAAACTGGTAGTTACTTTTAAGTCTTTTAAGGGTGAGTGTGCTAAGAAAGAGTAGCACAAATTAAAAAAAATTAATGTAAAAGGAGAAGTTGCTCTTGCAGTACTTCTGGTGGTAATGCTTTTCTTAAAGGAAAGTTAGGCAATTACTCTGATATGATCAGGTTCTTGAAAGATCCATGCTTTCAGAGGGATTATGGTTTTACATACCAAGCTGAGATATCTAAAGCTAGCTCTTCCTCACGTGGTGAATGTTTAAGAAGAATGGCCTTTTGAAGTCTCATGGATGCTGCCAAAGCAATAAGGAACCTAAAATTGTAGACTTTTAGCTTGTTAGTGTCTTGTTGCAGTTGATGAATGGTGGGATCTAGAGGTCAAACATGCATCACGATAACTTTTCCTTCAGCGTGAGTTGCACTGGAGTGTAGTAATTTTTAATGAGAAAAAAGGAATCTTTTTTATTTGAGTGTGCAAAACTGAAGTGCTACTGAACAGTCCTCGTGTTAGGAGTATATGAAACTGCTGACTTCCATCAGCATGTCCTGCACTGAGCTAATACAGCAGCATGCTTGCACCTTCTGTCCATCCCTTCATCTGTACTGAGAATTGTGGAACTGGCCTTTAGGTATGTCTTTGCTGGGCACTGTGGCTGATTTTGACTATGTCAGAAAGGAAAAAAGAAACCTAGGAGTTAAAACACTTAAATAATTAGAAATCCATGAAAAGCACTTGGTTTATTTTATAGCAAAAAACCTAGCAGGTACGTGTCCATCTGTGTCTGTGCTGTCACTTTTCTGCATCCCTTATAGAAAAGCAAGAGGATTTTTAGATTGGTTTTTTTTTGGTGTGGAGGAGGGGGTGAGGATGGGATGAGGGTGGCTGGAGGGTGCTTTTGATACTCATTTCCTGCACAGATACACTAACAACAGAGGAAAGAGCATTGAACTGAATTCAGTTGCCAATGGAGATGATCTGAAGCTTTTTAAAGAAATACCCCACTGACTGGCAAGTTTAAGTATTTAACTGATCTGTGTAAAACAAGTGAAGTCTTGTCTAAAGAAATGCTATTTTTAGAATATCTTAAAAAGACATCTTTCAAATTCTGTGTGCCACATTTGCCTCATAGCCTTATAGTAGCTTATTCCTACCAAAGAGGATTTCTTTCCCCACAACAAAATAGAATTCTAGGATTTTATTGATGAGAGATATGGTGACCGCTAGGATGTGGTTTTGCAGTGAGCAATAACTTTCTATATCTCTCATCTATAAACTTTTAACCCATGTCATAAAATTCCTTTGAAATTTTTGACTTTTAGATGATTTACAGTTGTCAGCTCCAGACCTTTCAGCATCTAAGTGTCCTTTAGATGATGCTAGTAAATAAGAAGGAAGTGGGTTTTGGATTTGGTTCCAATTATGCAATTGTGCCTTTTCTTCTGTTGTGGCTTAAAAAAAAAAAAAATCTCTTGGAAGTTTTAATATCCTTCCTGTGTTTAATTACAACCAGCCTCCAAAAAATACTGTAATAAGTTGGTTTCTCTTGGATTGAAAATCTGCAAGAAGCATTTTACATGTAACATTTCTGCAATTTTGGCATGTATTTTTTCCCAGATTCCACAGGCAGGATAATGTGGTTAATATTGTTTATATTATATAATTGTTCATCAGACACTTCTCTGCTTCTGGTTACTGTGTTTGAGTTTGTATTTGATATAGCAAAGTCTTAATCTCAAAATTTTCAAGTGCCTCTAGGAAAACCTAGCACATTTGTATAAATGATTTTCTATATTCCATTTTTGTGCTTAAAGTTTGGCATTTAGTTACTGAGATAATGGTGAGGTTTGGAAACAATTAGTTTTTGTTTCTGCATCACTTTTCGCTGAGATGATTGTGTTTAAGGCTTATCTGTTTAAGGTGCTTTTAGTGCTCTCTATTCAGGGCGTTCATGACATGTCTTTTCCAGATCATTGATATAGGTGAAACTGGCAACACTTCCATGCTGCCTGTGGGATATCTATGGCATCACAGGATCCCTGAGCAGCACGTTCTGTGAGAAAGATCAGTCTTTGAACTGAAGGTATCAGTACACCTGATCCTGTTCACATGTCCTGACTGCAGCTTGTTGCTTCTCTGCTCACTAGCTGTGAGTTGACTGAATACAGAAAGAAAACTGGGTTTTTAGAGGTCATTGCTGCTGGTGATTTTGGAGGCTGGCTAGGAGGGCTGTTACACAGTTGTCTTGTTTTGGGCATGGTTTGAATAAGCCCTTCTTTATTTACAAGCTTACAAAGAATCATCTTTGCAAAACATTGTATTCTTAATCTCTCTCATGATAAAAAATTGTGCATGCACTACATGGAGATGTTGTCTTTTTCACTGCATAGCTCTGATATGGAAAGATCATGAAGTCTGATTTAATGTGAACATTCCTTTAATTATACACTATGCATTAAGCACTTTTCTTGGCTACTATTCTTGGTAATTTCCATTGAGGACATCAGTATAACTAAGAACAGAACTTATCCCTCGGGCTTTTAAGTAGCCAGAATTTTATTGAATAGACCAGAAGACCATACTAAAATGACAGTAACTCAATTTAATATTGGCCTCTGTGGAATGTGTGTTGTGATTTCTAATGATTAGTTCTGCGAAAATTCATTGGTAGATCATACTCCAAATGGATCTTGGATTTTAGTGGCTTTCTTTGCTCTGTAAACAGAGTACATACCCAGCTTGCAAGGGAATTTCTTATTTAGCTGCTATCTGACAGTCAAATCTGTGTTGTTTTTTTTTTTGTCTTTGCTACTATTGTTCTTGTGTGAATGAAACTAAGTCTGAGTGTAGCTTCATTTTCCTGTGTTGAGCTACCTCTGTCATCAATTAGAGAAAGACCAGGAGGAGACAGAAAAAAAATATGCCCCTTCAATACACAGAAGAAAATAACATGGCTATCTTGAGTGGGTAGAGGGGACAGTCTGAAGACAAAGGAAGACATTTATTTTAATGAGTTTATTATTTAGATGACCTTTGAGTAAGGGAGTAATTCTGGAAATGGAATCAAGATGTTTGCTGTAGTCTATTACCAGCACATCGCATTTGGGATCATGCTAAGTATTAGAAGGATAACCTGGGTAGTTAAAAAGAAATGGGAATGATTTAAGCAACTAGTAGCATATTATGCACTTTTAGCATACCCTAAAGAGCTCACCCCTCCTTCTAAGCTCATGGAAGCCTTCAGA